GGACAGTGAGAAGGCTTTGGGACAGTGAGAAGGCTCTGGGACTGCTGCTCTTGGAGTTGGCAGTTTGCGTCACACCCTGAAGCAGAGAGGCAGAAAAAAGGGAGATGGGAAAAGCCAAGTAGTGTAACACTGGCTCTTCTTTTAGAGGTGGTTTGGGTGCAAATGCCAGTACTTGGAGCTCCTCCTCTAAAGAGGAGATTGCTTTGTAACTTGCCTGTTACCCTCTCAAGATCTTTGCTTGGAATGAGATTTCTGGGGTACCAACAGTGACCTGTGGCCATGGACTCCATGGCTGTGACCACCCCAGGGGTTCAGGTTGCTGGGTAGGGCAGCTGAGTGGTTGGCAAGAGCTTAGTGTGTGAGGCTGTTGAAAGGGTTTGTATTAACAGATGCAGCGAGGGTCCGTGTGGCAGTGGCATCACACCAACCCTGCTTTTCAGGTTTATTCAGCTGAAACTGGAGCGTGCTACCCCAGCAGAGCGTCAGCTTGTGTTCAACGAGATCCTCCAGGCAGCTTACCAGTTGATGGTCGATGTGTTTGGGAATTATGTCATCCAGAAGTTCTTTGAAGTAAGTCTGCATTCCCCTGCACGCCCTACTCGGATGCCTGATGTCCTGAGGTGCTGGACAAACTCATAAAAACCTTCCTATCTGGCTAAAATTTGGGATCTCTGTCAACACTGATGTCATCTCCTCCCCACAGGCTGTTGGGGTGTCTGAGGTGCAGGACTCACAAAGATTCATCTGAGAAGTAACACTTTGCTTTGAGATGCAAAAGGTGTAGGAATAAATAGGAACCTATCCAGGAGATGTAGGTCCAAGAAGACTTGTCAAGGGTGCTGTGCTGAGCTGTCAGTTCTTGTGTGTTTAAGAACAAAAGAGAAACTTTTCCAGTTGAACAGCTCTTGCTGGAAGGAAGTGTTGTGTTTTCCTGCCAGGAGGTTGGGCAGAAACCCATCTCTCCTTCTTGGAGCTCATCTGTTCTTTCTCCACCAAGCCCTGGTGGTTCTTCTGTCCAGTAATTTTCTCTCAGGCCTGGCTGGGGTTACTGAACGGGCACGTGTCACCCTGGTGGCTCCAACACCTTTGACTCTGGAGCTCATTTCACATGTGCCAGGCCTGTCTGCCAGACCCAGAGCAGACATCTGGCTCCTGCCTGTTCCCATCCACCGAGCTGTGGTTGGTATTTTTGTCCTGTCAGTGGGCACCCTGTTCCTTCTTCCACACTTGAGCGTGGGAGGGCTGCTGGGCCACCGAGGGCTTCGTGCTTGTTGTGACTGGTTTTCATCTCCCCAGTTTGGCAGCCTGGAACAGAAGTTGGCCTTGGCAGAACGTATCCGTGGGCACGTTCTGTCCCTGGCTCTGCAGATGTACGGCTGTAGGGTGATCCAGAAGGCCCTGGAGTTTATTCCCCCAGACCAGCAGGTAATTGTAAGTTTCACTTTTAACTTTCTTCTTGATGTTTGATGTTCTTGCCCGTTTGGTGACCTCAACCACGACCTTCTGTCCCTCTTGTGGCTGGTGTTCTTTGGTTTGGTTTATGGCATGTTTGTGACGTTCCATGCATGGTAAATATGTGACACTGTTCCTGGGTCCTGTTGTCATCTTGTTCCACTGAACTGGTGTCAGGTCTCTGATAACTCCCTGAAATCAGCCTGGGTGTGTAAGGGAAACTGAGAATGATGGTGTAACCAAAGATATTTTTAAATCCCTTGAAGGAAGCGGTGCCAGAGTTTTGCCCTTTAACAGTCACTGAGGTGTCATTGCTGTGAGATGTGGGTCAGTGTTCTGCTTTCCTGCAGCAAGATGAGTGAGGAGCTCCTGGATCCTGTCGAGCCAGGCCTGGCACTGGAGAGATGTGGCTGATAGCCAGAGTCCCACTCTGAGCTCATTAATAAAGTGGTTCCTCCAGGGTTTTATGAACAATGAACTGAGATGAAAAATACACACTAGGCAAGCTAGCTAATAAAGGTGGTGAGAATCATACTCCAGAAATCTCAGTGTAGGTTATTAAATTACAAACTGGAAGAAGCTTTAGGAATGTTCATTCCCTTTAGCTTGAGCCTGAGCTCGGTGTTGTCTCAGTGTCAGCAGAGTGGTGCCCGAGCTCCAGCACTGCTGGGCTGAGCTTTCACTCAGTGTCTTCCTCCAGAACGAGATTTCTGGGTGCTCCTGAAACTCTGGGTTCATATCAGCTGCAAAACAGCACTCATCCAGTTCTGTAGTGTCACTAAATTCCCCCAAACTGTCATTCTCTGTTGTATGATTGTGAAGCTTTTAGCCCACACGTGTGGTATGTTCATCAGACCTAAACTTCATCTGCTCAGATCCCACAGTGATCTCCTAATTGCCTGTGTAAAATGCTAGCAAGCTCTTAGCCCAGTGCTGTGTCACCCCACTTGGGTGACACAGGAAGCTGATTCCCCAGATGTTTGTGAAATTTGGGCATTTTAGACTCTTGGAAGGGAGCAGAGGAGGACGTGGAGGATGCACAGTAAAGCTGTGGATCAATAACATTTCTTAAATTTGGGTATTTAACTTGTCAGAGGACGCTCACAGAATTGCTGAGGTTGGGAAGGAGCTTTGGTTTGATGGAGGGGGTGCTTCTCTTCCCTTCAGAGTAGATTTTTCCTTGGGTTCTGTGCCAAGTGTCCTCCCAGTGCTTGGCCACTGGGACACTTCCAGCCGGACGTACACGGGGCACATCCCTCATACCTCTCCTACTCCTGACCACCCTTAGCAGTGACAACTCCCCATTTATCAGCCCTGAATCCTGGTGGTGCTTTCTGTTTGCCTCTCTCTCCTCCCAATAGAACGAGATGGTCCGGGAGCTGGATGGCCACGTCCTCAAGTGTGTGAAGGACCAGAATGGGAACCATGTGGTGCAGAAGTGCATCGAGTGCGTGCAGCCTCAGTCCCTGCAGTTCATCATCGATGCCTTCAAGGGGCAGGTAAGTCCTTGACAGAGATACTGACTCTTTTCCTTTGTCTTCTTAGCTGTTGCACAGCGTGAGGGTGGCTGTGACTTGTTCAGCTGCTTTGAATTGTAAATTTTAGCAGGCTTTCAGCTGAAAGGTTTGTACAGCGAGGTTGGGGAGCCTGGAAGCTCTTTGGTCATGTCTCTGTTGTCATTTCTGTGCAGGTGTATCACAGTAAAGCATCCTTGCAGACACCTGTTTTCCTGGAACATCAAGTGTTTTTTGACTGATGGAGGGGAAAACAAGTCTCTCACTAATCCATCTTCACAGTAAAGGTGGTGAGCAGAGTTTTGTGATGTGCATAGTAAACATTCAAAATGATCCCTGGCTGTGAGGATGGCTTAGAGCACTGCTGTTTCCCAGGGGGCTCAGACCAGGAGAAAATCAGGAGTTCCATCTAGGAAAGGGCAGTTACTTTTGCTTCCTTCTCCTAGTTTTCTCTTGGTGCTCTCTCCTGAATTGATGTCCTGGATATTAATCGGGTAGCTGGCTTTATTCTGCCTGTAGTCAGCCTCTCTTCCATTACAGAAGGTTTGGGTGTTTCCAGCTTCTTCTTAATTGGCTTTGGAGGGAGTCTTTGAAGTATTTTGGGCTTTGCCACAGGGCTGTGAGGGTAGCCTGGGGTTACTGTAGCAGGAACCAGGCTTTATTAGTCTGGGTGTTCCTGGAAGGGCTGCGAAAGCGAGGACTTGCTTGGCTCTGTCAAAACAAGCAGGATTCTATCTGGAAACTTGCTCAGCAGATTTGCTGGTTAGAATTTAGCTTTGGAGCTTGCACTGGGGAGTTAGGCAAGGCAGAAATACCTCTGGGAACCTGGCTGATGCCACTGGCATTGCTTTGGCCAGCTGTCCCAGTTTCATCTGAACTTTCATGTGGAAGGTTAAACTTATCACCTCAAGACTATTTTTCTGCTGTTAATTGCACTTCAAGTCCTGTTTTTCCTGCATAGGTTACTCAATAGTTATTAGGAATTTGTAAACTGTCAGTTTGACTCCAGTGCTTGGATTTGTGACTTTTGTTAATTTTAAGCAACCAAGTAGGACTTTGTGCTTTGGACAGAAAACTGCAGCAGTAATAAAACGTGGCATGTTCTTACCAACAGATTTGGTAATCCATTAGAAATGAGAGGGAATTTTCTTTGTTGTGGCTTCTAAGCACAGTTAAAGCTTTTAAACAAATCCAAATAGTTGAGGAAAATCCCGTGCTGAGCATTTTTAACTTCTCTGGTTCATACCATTTCATCCATAGCTTCAAATACGCAGCTGGCAAAGAGTACACTGGGTTTATTCTTCTCCAACAGCATTTTAATACAGCTTTTAATAATGCTTGGTTCTCCCGGGGCTTTTTTTATTATTATTTGGTTAATAAATCACAAGGCTTTAGTGTTTGTTTCATGACTGGGGAAGCTGAAGCACAGGCAGGGATGTGCTGCCCCTGCCACCACCCAGCCAGTGGGAGTGGGGATCAGTGTTCCTAGTTTGGGTTCGTGCTCTCTGGAGGTGCAGTGCTTCAAACTCTCATTACCCTGGGAAGAACCCCCGTGCATACACAGAGTTCCAGGAGGTTTCTGGGCTTCACAAGGACTAACAGACATGTTGCTGCCTGTGCTTGCCTGTCCTGGCTGAACTCAGGTCTTCGCCTTGTCCACGCACCCGTACGGCTGTCGTGTGATCCAGAGGATCCTGGAGCACTGTCTTCCTGAGCAGACCCTTCCCATCTTGGAGGAGCTTCACCAACACACCGAGCAGCTCGTTCAGGTCAGTCGTGCAGGTGCTGGGAGATGTTCCTCTGTGTTAGGAGAGCTCCTGGCAGCCTCTTGGGGACTGCAGCCACAGTGCTGCCCGGGTCGGGACGGGAAGGAACCCAGCAGACAAGAAACACATCACCTCTGATAGTCTGGGCTGTGTGCAGACATCCAGCAAGTGTCAAAGTTGTAGTTACTTTCATTTTTGAGAAGAATCTTGAGTGGCTGTGTGTCCTAATTCATCACTCTGGAAGGTGCAGGCCAGTAAGATCTAAAGGGAGTTGATGTGAAGAGCTGATCAGTTCTGGGAAAAGAAAGGGCCGAGTGATCTGGATTCTTAAAATGTGTTGGTTTTAGGCACACCCCCTTCCTGGCTGCCTTTCCTGTTCCTTTCAGTCCTCTGAGGACTTTTCTTCCTGGGTTTCTGATGTTGAGGATATAACAGCAAATGAACCATGTCCTGTATGCTCACGTATTTGGCACATGGGAAGCTGGGAAGAGGTTGGGCATGGAGAGGACGTTTTGGGTCATGCCCCTGGTGTTGGGAACTGGGAAAGTACCTATTTTGTGACACATTCAGAACATGGACATGTGAGGATAATCTGCTGTAGCTAGAACCACAGTGCAGCCCTCCAGGACACAGGATTTGGTGTGTTTGAACCTGGGGAAAGCAAAGGAAATAGGCAGAGTATTGACATTTCGTGTTCAAGGGCATTGGTTTGAGTTCTGGAACTGGACAAGGATGGAGCATTTTGCCTCCTGGTAACACTCTAGAACACAGGTTTTTGGAGAAGCAGAAAGTATTTCCATGATTCATACTATAGATATTTTAATTAGTGTTTAGTTCATGTTGCTAAGTCTTAATTCCCTTTGGAACTAGGCTGATAAGAGTGATTCCTGTCCCTGTTTGTCACACGTTCCTGCTGTCTCCCAAACAGGATCAGTATGGGAACTATGTCATCCAGCATGTCCTAGAGCATGGTCGGCCTGAGGATAAGAGCAAGATCGTAGCAGAAATCAGAGGCAACGTGCTCGTGTTGAGTCAACATAAATTTGCTAGGTATGAATTCATTCCTTAAAATCTCCCCCTCCCATGGGGGCAGGGACACGTGCCAGAGCTGCAGAAGAGTTGGGGCTGGGGTGTGGGGAGGTGAATGGAGGTGTTTTTTCTGAACAGCAGAGTGCTGTTTGGAGCTGGTTATGAACTGGGCTGAGTGACTGGCAAGGTAAGTTCTGCTTATCATGACAGAGGATGAAGATGTGGAAGAGCAGCTCTGATCCTTGTTCCTGAACTGGACCAAGAGTTTTGGTGTGTGTTGGGGTTGTTTTGTTTTGTTCTGGTGTTTTTTAAGTGGTTGCTATCCCTTGGGCAATAACGTGCCCTAAGAGCATTTCACTGCCCCTGGGATGCTGTGTCAAGCCACAGGGGAATTTGGGATTCTTCTTCCTCCCACTTCCCAGAGAAGAATCTGAGCTCTTTATACACAAAGTCTTATGGTCCTTTCTGAGACACATGCATGATGAGACCCTCCTAGGGAAGCTGGAGCAGCCTGAGGTGCTTAGTCCAGATGCTGCAGAGTTACACATGGGTAGAAGGAGAATCCAGGTGCCTCAGTGGATGCAGAGATGAAGTCAGAGCTCCCACGTTTGTAAATTCCTTTTGAACATGAAGGCTGAGCTCTTCAAAGGCTCAATATTCCCCCTTTTTATGATGAGTAAAATGGTGCTTTAATGCTCATGGACACAAGGGAAGTGTAACTTTAACAGGAATTAGAAGAGCATGGTCTTAATGTTGTTACTTCAGATTCTTCCTCCCTGGCTTGCTGTGCTCTTTTTTCCTAAATTTCTTTCCAGATGGAGTGTTAATTAGTGTAGGATGTCCCCTGAGCTGACTGTTGGCTGTGGCAAACCACTTGGTGATTTGATGATTCAGTCAGGGATGCAGAAGATAAGACCAGCAAAACTCTCCTTCCCCTTTCCTGTATCCTATTTAACTGGGCTCTCCAGAGGGCACAGACTAGTCAGCTAATATATTCAGGAATTTGGGGAGTTCAGTGCCTCTGCCAAGATCTTTGGTTTCTGAATAAGCATTTCCCTGTTGTTCTAACCTTGGACCTCTGTTCCTGTCAAGCTCCAGTGTGGGGAAAACCAAAGAACAACTCATCTGCCTCTCTAATAGGCACACTATGAAAACAGATGCTGATCTCAGACCCAGTGTCACTAGAGTTGCACAAATTGGGGTGAAATAAAACCTGAGCTGGTGCTTTACCCACATTCTGACTCAGATCCCAGGTTCCTCAGATTGCTCTCCTGTTTCATGTTGCTGAACTTCTGTGCCAGCACGTACAGAATCACAGGATCCCAGGAACTGGAAGGGACCTCTGGGGATCATCTCCTCCAGCCCCCCTGCTCCAGCAGCTCACCCACAGCAGGGTGCCCAGGGTCACAGCCAGGCAGGTTTGGGATCTCTCCAGAGCAGGAGACTCCACAGCCTCTCTGGGCAGCTGCTCCAGGCTCTGCACCCTCCCACCAAAGAAGTTTCTCCTCCTGCTCAGGTGGCACCTCCTGGGTTCCAGTTGGTGCCCGTTGCCCCTTGTCCTGTCTCTGGGCACCACTGACCAGAGTCTGGCCCCAGCCTCTTGCTGAGCATTGATCAGATCCCCTCTGAGTCTTCCCCAGGGCTCCAAGCCCTTCCTGAGCAGGGATCACCTGCCCCCAGTGCTCTGTCCTGGCTGGAAGCAGGCGGCAGCTCCCGGGGGTGGCAGGAGAGGCCGGGTGGGGACACCAGGGCTCAGAGCTTGTCCTTCTCTGACAACAGCAACGTGGTGGAGAAGTGTGTGACCCACGCCTCGCGCACGGAGCGGGCCATGCTGATTGATGAGGTGTGCACCATGAACGATGGCCCCCACAGTGCCTTATACACCATGATGAAGGACCAGTACGCCAACTACGTGGTGCAGAAGATGATCGACGTGGCGGAGCCGGCGCAGCGCAAGATCGTCATGCACAAGGTGAGGGAGAGAGGGAGGGAGGGAGGAGGACGTGGGGTTTCTCACTGAGGGGGTGGCTTCTGCCTGGAGGATTCCCTGAGGAAGGAGTTGGTTGGAAGTTGTGGAGCTCAGGAGGAGCTGAAGGGCAGAAGTGTGGAGGAACGAGGCGCGGGTTGGACTGAGAAGCGGCTGGTTGCTTCTAGCAGTCTCTGCTGACCTAGTAACCTACTTCTGCTGCTCGTGGTGTAGGGAGTGCTGCCAGTGCCAGCCCAGCCTTGCCACAGCAGCACCGTGCTGGTGGCACCTCAGGCTGCAGCTCCTGGGCCCGGGGCTGTCCATCAGAGTCTCCCCATCTCAGTTTTGGGGGGGGGTCCCACGGTTCAGCGTTACACCCGCTTCAGGACTTCAGATCTGTTCAGAAATGAAGGTTTGGAATTGAGTAGGTATTGCTGGCAGTCCTCTGCCTGCTGCCCCAGTGATGTCTTCATTTCCTTGCCTTTAAAGGTCACGTTGGTGGGTCTTGATAGTTGTAATGAATGGGGAGGGGGGGAAATATCCTTTTAGCTGTGTGGTGGAACTGAGCTGATGTTCTGCAGCCACGTGTCGTTGGCACCAAGTCTTTGTGAGCAGCACCAGCCACAGCTTGACCTCTTAGAGATAAAACACGACTGACACTGGTTGGAAAACCCTGTATTGATTTGTTTTTAAGAGGAACTGTGGCGAGTGTCAGGTATTCAAACCCCAATGAAATCACGGAGTATTTAAGAATCCTTGAGTTAAATGTGTCGAGTGTTTTTTCTGTATAAAGCAGCGTGTGTTACCTGTGTACTGGAGCTGATTTTTACCTGCCTGAGGCAGTTGGTCAAGGTATAAACATATAAACAGTCAGTAAATAAACACACAGCTGAAAAAATCCTCAGGGGGCTTAATTCTTGGGTTTAGGAATTGCTCCGAGTAGTTCTTCTAAACTCAAATCTGTATTAGTCCAAAAGAAATCACAAAGAGAAGGAAATAAAGATGCATGGCAAGGTACAGGTGCAGTTTAACTGGAGCTCTGCTAATCTATCTGAGGAGATAGGGGGATTCAAGAAAATAATATACAAATGGTCTTTACTGCCACGTTCCCTTTCTTTTGAATAAAATGCTAATTGGGTTATCAGTGTGGCTGTCAGAAATAGAACTGGGGTGACAGCTAGAGAGGACTGGCTGCAGGTGAAGATTTCAGCTGCTGGGGGAGGGAAAGCCTGGGAGAATGGAGCATGCCCACTGTCCTTCTGGGGTGAAATTTTGGGGAAAATTGCTCTGAGTGCAAACAAGCAGAGCGTGTATCATTGCTGAAGTGCTTGTATTGAAAAAAACCCCATGAAAATACTGGCAAGTGATATGAACAGTCAGTAAAGACCTCAAGTGTTAGAAATGGGGGTGAACACAGAAGGACCTGGTGGTGCTGGGGACCTTCCCTCGTGTGGAGGGAGAGCCAAGGCCCCACATGATGCTTCTCACAAGTTTTGGAGTTCAGCCTGTAGACCAGACAGAGCAGAAGCCCCTGCCCCCTGTTCAGCCCCCCTGGAGCCTTCTGCTGGGAAGGTGGAGCACCCAGGGGTCCTCTCCTGGGACAAAGCCCTGTACCCATCCACACGCTTGGCTCCAGCTGGATTCCAGTGCTGGGGCTCAGGCTGGTGCCACCTCCTGGACCAGCAGCTCCTCCTAAAATCCCCACCAGCGAGTCCTGGAGCTCGATTCGCAGCCATCGATGCGACAACAGCAAAAACAACTCTCCAATATTTCAGGCATTTTGTGGCCTCCTGTTCTTCTGCTGGTGGCCAGCACCTCATGACTGGTCCCCAGAGTTGACGGGACCATCATTTTGGGGTTCCCCAGCTTCACTGACTCTCCTCTTCCCCCCCCAGATCCGGCCTCACATCGCCACCCTGCGCAAGTACACCTACGGCAAACACATCCTGGCCAAGCTGGAGAAGTACTACATGAAGAACGGGGTGGACCTGGGGCCCATCTGTGGGCCACCCAACGGCATCATCTGAGGCAGGGACTTGGGGAGAGCAGCTCCCTGCCCGTGGGCACCAACAGCCAGCGACCACCACGATTCCAGTTCCAGGCAGAACACGGTTTCTGGTTGCTCAACTGCTAAAAAAGAAAAAAAAAAACACCACAGAAGAAAAAAGCCTTTGTAAATTCCTTTAATTTTATTATGCATAACATGTACTAATTATTTTTTTTAATTAACTAATTGCCCTGCTGTTTTACTGGTGTATAGAATACTGTACATAGGTATCAAATGTACATGGAAGGCCACATTTTTGTTCACTGTTGTATCTATATTCCAAATGTGGAGACTTTCAGGGTGGTTGGTTTGAAGAAAACAAAAAACAAACCCCGTTTTTAATCATCTGCCTCGCAGAGGCAACTTTTTTGCAACTAGGTTTTTTGCTCCTTTTAGTCAAAAGTCAGCAAGAGGTTTGGATTTTAGTTAAAACGGCCCAAGAGCCGCATTTAATGCTGTTTATATATAAAAAATAATCAACTTGCTAAAGGTTTAAAAACCAAAAAAAAATCACAGAATTAAGGTTTTAAATTTTTTTTTTGAGGGGGAGGGTTAGAACATGCTAAAGGAGGGAGCTTAGCTGGCATTTTGGGGAAGAAAACATCACACCCAGGAAGTTTTTAAGGAGAAGGGGGGGATAGTCCTTGACTCTGTTCTGTTAACATGGAGAGACACAATTTGATTTTATTTAGCATGAGGAAAAACAAACAACAACAACAACAAAAAATCCAACTCGGCTTTGGTCTTGCTTCTATAAATATATAGTGTATACTTGGTGTAGACTTTACATATATAAAAATTTGTAGTATTTTCTTGTTTTGATGTCTGATCTGTATCTATAATGTACCCTAGTAGTGGAACATACTTCTGACTGTACAATTGTACATTTGTAAACCTCTGTAATGTAAATGTGGAGAAGTTTGAATCAACATAAAAAAAAAACCCAGTTTTTTTTTTTTTTTTGGTAAGAAAAAAAAGGCAAAAAAAAAAAAAAGGAATTAGGAAAACCTGTGCATTTCAGTGTATATTCACACCTTTTATGGTCGTAGCATATAGTGTTGTATATTGTAAATGGCAATTTCAACCAGAAGTAAATTTTTGTTTTGTTTTGTTTTGTTTTCTTTTGAAGGAAATGTTCTCTTTATACAGCCTAGTTCATGTTTAAAAAAAACAAAAAAAAAAGGAAAAAAAAAGAAAAAGAAATGCTTGGTTTTATTTGTCACCTAGTTGAACGGTAGCCATCCTTTCTAAATGTTCTACAAACAAAAGGATTCAGTTCAAAATAGTGGTTTTTTTGAATCTTTCAATAAAAAAAAAAACAAGTAATGTTTTGCTTATTTTGTGACAGTAAGAAACAGAAAGTGCAGAAGTACAGCCCCCCACCCCTAGTTTCCCTTACAATCAGAGTTCCTTTTCACCTTGTAAAGTGTGAATCACTCCCCTTTTTGTACAGAAGATGAACTGTATTTTGCATTTTGTCTACTTGTAAGTGAATGTAACATACTGTCAATTTTCCTTGTTTGAATATAGACCTGTAACACTACACGGTGTACATTTACAGAGCCTTGTGTATATTTCCAACAGACTTTTTTGCAAGCACACTTGTAACCATATGTGTATAATTAACAAACCTGTGTATGCTTATGCCTGGGCGACTATTTTTTGTAACTCTTGTGTAGATTGTCTCTAAACAACGTGTGATCTTTATTTTGAAAAATACAGAACTTTGGAATCTGGCTTGGTGTTTCCTTGGGACTCCTCCATAGAGGTGTTGACCCCCTGGCTGCTTTTTTTTTTGATTGTTTTCAGCTTTTCCCACCTTGGCCCAGGGGCTGTTTCTGCTTGGAGCAGCAGATACACGTGGAAAACAAAGAGCAGAGTGACCACCTGTGGGTCTGCCTCCCTCTATTGCCACCCCTTCTCCCAGAAATGGGTATTTTGGCTTTTTCCTCCCTTTTTGAGCACATCTGAACCTCTTCAGAGCCTGCACAACCTTGCAGCAGCCCCAGCCTCCATCCCCAGGCAGTGAGCTGGGGGGGATCAACCAAAACGTGGCTCTCTGGTTGTTTCCAGCAGCTCTTGCAGAGAGAGGCAGGGAGTTGGAGAATTCCAGCAGGGTGGGGTTGGGAGGGACCTCTGGGGATCATCTCATCCAACCCCCTGCTCCAGCAGCTCACCCCCAGCAGGGTGCCCAGGGTCACAGCCAGGCAGGTTTGGGATCTCTCCAGAGCAGGAGACTCCACAGCCTCTCTGGGCAGCTGCTCCA